CGTGTGCGGTCCATACGGTCTGTGCAGTACGTGTGCGGTCCATACGGTCTGTGCAGTACGTGTGCGGTCTGTGCAGTACGTGTGCGGTCTGTGCAGTACGTGTGCGGTCTGTGCAGTACGTGTGCGGTCCATGCAGCCGGTGCTCGCTATTTTTCCTTTTGTATATATTAAATTTAGGATAAAGCTATAGTTTGTTTTATTTATTTAGTCTTTCCCCATTCCATGCGCATGTCTAAAGCAATCCAGGTACTGGACTGTACAGTACAGAGAAAATCTGAAAGCTTGAAGTGGGTGGCGCAGGCAGTCGCCGTCCCTCCCATCTTACTTCTTACTAATATTATAAATGCGAAAGTTTAGATAGATAGATGGATGTTTGTTAGCGTTTGTAGCCTAAACGGCTGAACGGATTTCCATGAAATTTGGCACAGGTTTAGAGCATAGTCTGGAAGAACACAGGCTATTTTTTATCCCGGGAATAGTTACGGTTCCTGTGAGATTCCTCAATTTAGTTTTTTAATGTTTACTCGATCATTCTGCAACGATTCAACATATCTTATTGAAATTGGGACAGTTATAAAACAAAGTCTGGAGTACACATGGGATAAGCTTCATCCCCTAGAAATGTCCGGTTCCCGAGGGATACGTAGCTTTTTGTAATTTATATAGTTCGTATGTTTTCTAATACGTCGCAGGCAACAGCTGGTATTATCTAAATTTTGTATTCTTATACTAAACTAATTAGCATACATACCACTCTACATAAAATTTTAAATGCTATAGTAACAACAATGCTATAGTATGTATAGTGCCACAAGGATATTGTGGCACCTTTTTGACATTGACAGGATGGCGCCTCTGAGCATTTAGGGTTACCAGCAAGGTAATATCTCCACATTAAAGGGAAATTCTTTCCTTTTGAAAACGAAAACGCCAATTGTAAAGCAGTTATTATGCCTTATATGCTTCCGCATCCGCAAGTGCGCAAGTTTTACGGGGGTTAATTTACGTCTTTAACACGAGTGGGTTGATTAGGTATCGATTATGCAGCCCGCGCGGGCGAGCTAGGTCAACTAACTATAATTATTATACATTATATTTGCATAATAAACTGTACCTTGTAATTATGTTACAATTTCTATTTTAAAGTAACGTAGTTTTACTTTTTATTTCTTTAATAAATCGCAATTAATATTTTTATTCTTGACCTCCGCTTCCGCTTCCGTTAACCTCCGTTTCTGTAGAGCTCAAGACCTTAGCCTCCGCATCCGCTTCCGTTAAATTATTATACGACACGTCTAAAACTGCATTAAACATTTCTTTAAAAAACTGGCACTTTGATGCATAAATGTTCGCCTCCCTTGTAGTAGATAATACTAATTTAAATTGTCGGTGTGCCAGTGGTCTACAACAGACTGCGAGTCTTTTGCACCAAAACAGGAACAGGAACAGGAAGCAACGTCGACATCGGAGGTGACGTACTCTGCGGTTAGCCGGAATGCGGACAACTGTAGGCTGGGGCTGCAACCGCAACCGGCCAACACAATCTTCACACTAGACACAAGTTCAATTGGACTATTCCAATCATCT